GAAAACAACAAAAAAGAGAGAGAGGAACAAAACCCAGGAAATAGATTGATTCATCCAGCTGGGAAAAGTTGACAACCTTTTCAGATCTGCACAAACCCTTACATGTTGAAATCTTATCATTTTGCAGCTGTCCTGTAGGGTTTAATGACGATATTTCCTCCACTCATAAAATTTATCTTGAGTTTTCCCTTAGACTACTATGGTTACAATAACACTATCACAAATGTTTTGTGATGCATTTTCTATGTGAAGGTTTGACTTTACACTATGAATAGTGATTTCAAACCCCTTAAACTCCTTTTTCTGTATGTGTGAGAACCTATGGGACTGGCAGATGCCACGTGATGGCAGGAGAAGACAGGGCAGTACCTCAATCCAGAGTTTGGGAATGTGCAGCCCAGCCTTCCCCCCGTGAAAGACGTTTTCTTCTGTCCTCTGTCATAGGTCCTGCAGTGGGCTGGCAGATCACAAAGCACGGCCTCCACAGTGCTGCAAATAAATGAATAAAAGGCCCATTTGGGAAGGGACAACAAGACGGGAGCTAACTGCAAGTGTGAGGAGGTGTATCCTAAGTGTTTCAGATTCATCAGGTCTCTGAATAACAAGAATACTGTAGCCATAAAACTTCTGGCCCTAGTGAAATATTATTTTCACCCAATAAAGTGATAAGTGAAGTGCTGAGATAAGAGAAAGTGCTCTGAGGAGAGAACATGATGCAGATAAACCCACAGTGTGGTGAACGCCAAAACTGTGAACATCTCTCAAGAACATTAGGTTTTTCGATAGAATTTTTTTTTCCACCAATTTTCTGTATTAGTTGGCAAGGTTCTAATAATACCCTTGATTACATCTGACTACTAGAAATCTTGTGAATTAAGCGTTGACAACAAGCAGGCATTCTTCTGTCCCTCTTGAAATGAGTGAGAGTGCATCCTGGGCAAGCACTAAGTTCCTCTTGGCACTCATTGTAGTGAGACCAGCACTGAGCTCTTTCAGGACTGAACACACTTCTCGGGGCTGACTTGAGAAAAGAGAAGCAAAGACATATCCCTGAAACATACGGTTCTTTTCAAAACTTAGGTTTAATACTTTCCAATGACGCACACTGTGAATTCACTTCTTTCCTTGCAAGGACATGTACAAAGGTTAATTCAAAAGTAGTTTTCCTCCAAAAGGGCCTTTTATGTCTCTCCCCTGCCTTTAATAGCTGCAGAAGCGAGTGCCAGATGAGACAGCTGTAGATAGGCTAAAAATCAATAGTTACCCCCTTCTGAGTCATCAGTAACTAAGTCTCTTTTGGTCATTAACTTACAGTTTCCATGACTTCACACAGTGTCAGATCCCAAATGCCTGCCACAGTCATTCTATCTTCTTACTACGAGAGGACTACAGTTTTTAAAATCCACTTTTGTTGCCATATATTTGGTTCATCTATGTACAACTCATCATTAAAAAAAAAAGCAATGGCACAGTAACAAAGAATATTTTTGCAGAGAATCCCTCCTCTAAGAGCTCTAACCTTTCAAACAGTGGTGCAGATCCTCTTCTTACATCAGCTTGACACTGGTGCAATTCCAGCAACAAAGCCACTTCTGAGTTACACTTTCACGAAGGCAGTGAAATCAGGCCTATCTATTGCAACTGATAAAATCTACACATAGATAATACATTTTTCTTGGGAGAAGACCCTCCTTTCAAAAACTTGACTTGAGGGTGTTTTCGATGAAGTTGACATCCCGTTCTGCCATCCTGACTTCGACGTTTGTGCACTGCCTGAGACGCTTCTGGAATTTCCCACTAAGTAGGATGTAGAGAAATGGATTAACGCTGCTGCTGGCATAGCTGAGGCAGATGAAGATGCAGTAGCTCACGGAGAAGGTCAGGATCGGCTGAGAAACCTGAAAATTCATGATCTGGATCACATGGAACGGGACAGCGCTTACCACAAACATGCTTACCAGAGCAACCACCATCTTAGTGAGCCTCATGACTCTTTGCCTGGGGATACTGGTGGTGTAACTGCAAAACAAAGAAGGATCCCTAGCACACAAAGGATGGGAAAATGATATCATGGCTTGAGTGTACCGATGAATGGCAGTTATTTGAGACCAAATTCACCTACAGTGCAGGCGAAAGCCAGCTCTCAACAACTTCGTTTTTTTTGTTGTTTGCACATTATTATTTCTTCTGCTTAGGCTGAATTCGATCCTACGACACACACGTACAGGAGCCACTGACAACTGCTTACATATATTTGATGAAATACTGACAATTATTTTCATTAAAAATGCTTCCAACATGGGAGCTATATAGCTTTGCATTCCTTTTCATCTATGACTACATTTTTTTTGCTAACAACTGGAACAGAAAAATCCAGTTAAAACATGACTATTATGAGCCTAAAGGAGACAAGACTTAGAGAAAAGAAGTAAATGATCCTCCTGCCTGAGGAATTAAAAAACACACTAAAATGGAAATCAATTTCCTTTTTAACAGAAAATTTGTAGAAGCTGAAATTCAAAGCACACAAAGTCCAGTTTTGGGCTCCTCAGTACAAGAAAGACATTGAGGTCCTGGAGCGTGTTCAGAAAAGGGCAACAAAGCTGGTGAAGGGTCTGGAGCACAGGCCTTATGAGGAGTGGCTGAGGGAACTGGGGTTGTTTAGTCTGGAGAAGAGGAGGCTGAGGGGAGACCTTATTGCTCTCTACAACTACCTGAAAGGAGGCTGTAGTGAGGTGGGTGTTGGTCTCTTCTCCCAAGTAGTTGGCGATAGGACGAGAGGAAATGGGCTTAAGCTGCGCCAGGGGAGGCTTAGGTTGGAAATTAGGAAAAATTTCTTTACGGAAAGGGTGGTCAAGCATTGGAACAGGCTGCCCAGAGAGGTGGTGGAGTCCCCATCCCTGGAAGTGTTCAAAAAACGGGTAGATGTGGCACTTTGGGACATGGTTTAGTCTAGTCTACCCTTGATTGGCTTAGAGTAGACTTGGTAGTGTAGGTTAATGGTTGGACTGGATGATCTTAAAGGTCTTTTCCAACCTAAACGATTCTATGATTCTATGATTCTATAAGTCCTAGAACTAAAACATGCTGACTAGGAGCTGCTGCCATGGAAACTGGGAAATTATATTTCATGTGTTTTATGTTTCAATTTTCTTGTATTGCCTGGGCTTCCCCAGGCTGTGGATGGTGGCTGGGGATCCCTGTGGGGCTTGGAGTCCCCTTCCCACAGGAGGGGCAATGCAGCCTGGAAGCACCTAACCTGCAGCCCCCCAGGCCACGGTGGCTGGTACCAGACCTAGCACCCAGATCCTCCCAAGGTTTCCTAATCCTTGAACTGAGAGCTTGGAACCACAGGACCCCGATGGGCAGGTGCCTTCCCACAGCCAGAAGTGCAGGTTTGGGTCATGCCTTTTTGTTGTCCTCAGGCAAGCTGAGGACTTCAGCCATAACTTTCTCCTCAGTGTTTCCTTCTAATGGGTTACCTTGCTCCCTCCTCTGAATCCCATCCCTAGTCTGTTTCCTGGGAACCTAAGGTAGTGTCTGAAGCACTGAAAGTTACATGATGGAGTGCCTAAATGTTGTTTTAGGACTAATCCTTTTGGCCTGTTACGTATAAAACCTTGGCAGTATGAGCAGAGCATCTGAAATAGGAAGAAGCATGAAAAATACCTTCCTGCTTTCTTGTTTTGCTCATACAACTCCCACGTGTAACATAAAATTAAAATATAGCAAATAAATATCAGTGGTAAAGGAAAAAAGAAAGTTGTTACAGTAAGATAAAGTATATACCTGTAAAACAAAATGCAAAAAGAACGAACAAGGTGATTACACAAAGACCATCTCATAAACATAAAAAAAATATAAATGACATTTTTCATGAAGTGGTCTCTGATTTGTGATTCTTGATTAGAGATACATGGAGCCTGTTTTATGCAACAGCAACTACCTAGAACTGCAAGTACTTTTAAGTAATAAAGTCTGTGTTCAGCACTTCTAGGAATACTGCTGACTACAAGAAAATAACTACAAATTACACCTCTCGGCTTTCCAAATTCTGTATGTGTGTGATTTTTCCAGCATCTGTATAATTAGTGAAAACTCTTGCAAGCATTTATGCAGGACACAGTCTGCTTAGCCCCCTGACATTTTGCCAGTCTGATAGTAGACCAGTGATGACCACCTTCTGAGCACAGTTTTTTCAACCATTCTTGCCTCATTACTGTAATCTAATCTACACCATCTTTCCTAGCTGGTTTGCTGGTATTTTGTTATAATTCAAGTTATTTTGTTTCCATTTATTCTTTATCAACTGGAGAACTTCCATCAAAGAAGGAAATTAGATTGTTTTGTTACAATTTGTTCCTGACAAATAGACATAGAGTTTTTCTTATGACCTTACATATTGACAGTTTAATAATTTGTTAAACTTTCTGGTTATAGAAGATCATTGTTTTTTACTCTATCTACCAGAGTATCCTTTTACTTGTCTTCATACTTTTCTGTGTTAAAACCTTTAATGTGGAATTAAACAAGCCTCTGACAATTGATGCCATATGAGAGAGGATGGACTAGACTGAATTCCCAAAATCCTTTCAACCCTGTTTTTCTTCTATTTTATCTGATTTCTTTCAGGCTATTGAGGATCTCATGTCCTTCACAAGTTCTTGAAGATAACCAGTCATATTTCATTTTTATTAATACCTTGTCTTCAGCAGTGAATTTCATCAAGCTTTGCTGACATTAAAATATTTAACTTCTGTACTGTTACACATTTTTTCTTTTTTTTCTGGTGCTCTAGAGTTAGAATTAACTCCATTAAAAATCTGGTTGCAATTCAATTGAGGGGGGAGGCGGAGAGGGAGGCTGGAATGAAAAAGGCTCAAATACACTTTTTTAGGCTTTGTCTACATTAACAAGTAGTACAAATGAGTAGTGAAATTCTGTAGAGTGAAGCACTTGGTGCTTAGGACATGACACATTATACTCATGTTAGGGGGTTTAACTTTGAATTTTCTCTAATTGGATCCTGTGGATTGAAGACTGACTACACAATAGTGGTTGGAGTCCATTCATTGAGTTCCTGGTGCACTTTTTCCAGTCTGATTTCACCTGAAAAGAATACAGATCATGTGCTCTGAGACTGCTGAATAATGTAAACTCAAGTGTAGTAATTAGAGGCAATCGGGATACTCACTCCAAAAATACCTTCCTTATACAAATGAAGATGCTAATATAAACCCACCCAGTATCAGCCAAAATTTGCTCTCTCTTATGCAAGGTTTTTAAAATTTTCTTTTATGCTGCTTGCTAGTCATCACTCAAAAAGCTAGCTTGAATTCAACAAATAGGCAGGAATCTGCTTGGCCATAAAATACTGGGAAGTCATGTATACAATTTGAGGAATATTTAATCACTCCTGTGATCTGTATCTTCCAAACATGACAATCTGCCAGGTCAGAAAGGGCAATGAGATCCCATTGGTGAACAACAGTTACCTAAATGCAGCAAGAGAAGATAAGGAGAAACAGAAATCCTTCACTGTTACATTTGTTGTGTGGGAGCTGTCTTGCTGAACTTGATCACGCTGGGGCTGCCTCTATATTACCAATACAATCTGAGATGCAGCGATTTGAATGATACAAGGCTCAGCTTCAGCCTTTAATTCTATTCCATCCATCTATCTATCTGTCCATCCATCCATCCATCCATCTGTCTGCCTGTCAGGGATGTCAAAGACAAAATGGGTGGTTTCCTCAACACCAGCTGAAGACATGATCCCCCGAGCCTTGAAAGCTTACCAGAGAACATCATAAGGTGAGGTTAGATCAAAAGTGCAACTTTCCAAACCATCTTTGAACCTTATTACTTTTGAGGAGACCCACACAGGGCACATCAGAATAAGTGATGCCACCCATAAACATAAATTGACTCAAACTGTCTTGTTCTCAGGTGGTTTAGGTGAAATGGCCGGACAAGAGCGAGGTACCTGTACAAGCAGGTAAAATAGTAATAAAATAGAACAACAATAAAATATTTAGATTAGTATTGTTGACTGCAAAATAAATATTCTAAAAATTGCCATCACAAGGGAAGGAAACTGTATTTTTAAAAAATTCTCTAGTACAACATGCCAGAATGGCTTTTATTCAAGCAATTCCTTTAACATTCAACAAGTGTTGTTGTAACTGATCATGGTTTTGGTCACAAAATTATTTAATTAATATGATAAGAGTTATTAATAAATTATAGTAGATTAACATGTAGGATATGGAGTTTAAAAACTCAGACATACAAGAAGCAGGCAGAGACAAAATCTGAGATGAAGTTAGTTCTGGAAAAGCACTGCAGATAATTTTAATACAGGCAAGACTGCTATTAAAAACAAAATAGAACTTTCTGATATATTTTAGCTCTAGGAGTGTTCAAGTCTGTTACAGTTGTAATTTAAATGTTTAGTCTCCACATAACTGAAGATACAACTGAAAGACTTCACTACCTTAGAAGTAACCTTCAGTTAGCAGCGGCTTACAATACAAACCAAATTATACTTCTTTTTCATGACCTTCACATTTTGTAAAACATTGGGGTGAACTTTAATCTATCAGATCAAAATGGATTAAAGTGGGCAATCTTTGAGCTGAAAGCAGAATATTAAATGCAATTATTCACATGTCTTAAAAAAGAAGGGGAAGATAAAGCGGGGTGTATTTTCCCTCTATTTTTTTCAGGAGTGAGTAGGGTAAGTACAAAGTCCACTGCATTTGGTACACCTTTTCATTTCCAGATGAGATCAGACTACCTACTAACATGGCCACTGATTCACTGCTTAAAAACTTGTTTAGGAAGAATAATGTCAGATCATCTTAGAATAAATTCAACAAAGATAAAGAAGTCTGACAATGAATTTCTTCCTTTTTCTTTCCATCCTTTGTTCATGCAGAATGTGGCATACTGGGACCAGCTGTAGGCCTGGCCAAAAGGACTGGGTGCAGACGGTATGCAATGCAACGAAGGCTGAAAATTTCCATTGCCCTTGGTCTTGGTGTTGTTTTGTGGTTGTCAAACTCACTATGTTTTGCAAAGCAGTTTGAGGGAAGCTGCAGCACTGCCCTGTGATGGCTTTGAGGTAATATAAACCACATGAGACAACCAGAAACCAGCACCAGTGACCTCACTTTGGTGCTCCACAGGCAAGCTGCTGCGGCTACAGCTCTCATCAGCAGGGTCTCCTAGTGGAGACCCTGGCAGAGGGATGATTCTCATCACATTGCTGCCAGCTTAAGGATATGATCAGTTATGATCCCCCTGATATGTGATGAGAGGTCTACCACTGACGTCCTAGCCTTCCTAGTGGTGGCTGTACCCATTGCCACTCAGACTGTGGGTGACTGGAGGCTTATGCTTCTGCCTTGGCCCCATGTCAGCCAACTCATTCCCAATGACGGGGTAAAGGGCAAGTGGAAGAACACAAACTCTGGCAGCAGGAGCTGGTGGGTGGGTGAGGAACCATAAGGCTGAAGAGAAATGGGTGAGATTAAACTTATGGAGAAAACTCGGTTCATCCATTTATCAATTAATTGTTCTTAAATTAATAACAAATTATATCAAAGTTTTACACAAAAAAAGGAGAGAGGAAGCTTTGGGGCATTTTTTTGGGGGTAGAAAACATCTATTTTATGACCAGACTCTACAAAATGGACTAAAAATTTAATTCTGTCCTTTTCAGCTATATCACACATGCCTTTTCCTGCATAACACTGGAAGATTTTGGGTGGTAGCAGTGAAACACATCTCTTTTGTGGGAGATAGGTTGATTCAGTTTCTTTTAAAAAGACTGAAAACTCTGAATCATAGTGACAGAAATCTTTTGAAATTGTAATTTTCTGAAATTAACTGAAAATGAGTGATTTGATAGCTGCTGAGAAAGACAAATTGTGTAGGAATTTAAACAATACTTGAAAATAATTTTCTTAGTGATTGGCTATTAGCAGCTTCTCTACCAAATTCCATCCTGTTGACTTCATGTCAGAGTATTAAATACTTGTACAAGTTGAAAGGATAAACCAGAAATGTTTAAATACTGGTGAAATTTTCACTGAACTTTAGTGCTTGTAGAGAAGAAAAAAATGGCAGCCCAACAAAACAAGACAGTCCAACAAGTCCAGACAAGTCCAACAAGACAGCCATTAGAGATTAATTCTCTATCGCTCTCAAGCTATACCTTAGCTAGAAATGAAAAACTCTCTCTCAATCAGTGAACTATTTATGTTGTTCAAAGATCAAGGGAGAAAAATGCAGGAAAAAACACAATCAAAGCCTGCAAGGAACAGTCTTCATAATAATGTGATCCCTTCTTAAAAGCACTTCATGAAAGAAAAACAGGTGTAGACATGTATTAGGTTGATTAAATTATTAGAAATAAAGGAACAGGGTTTGGTGGAGTTATTCTAGATTTACATTGTTAAAAACACAAGAAGCCAGATAGACGTATATAACACCAACTGCAATGTGTGCAAATTGAACCTTGCATTTTGCTTTCAGCTACCCTGCTATTCACCTACATTTACTCTACTAAAACCAGGAACACTGCTGTGAATTTTCTTCAATGCAGCTGAGAGCAGAAGCTTAGTAAGTGACTGGCTGCTTAAAAATATGTTCACCAGGCTGAAACCTCAAGTTTAATTAGACTATGGATTAAATAGTCCAGTACTGGTACCAGTAAATAACCAGAAATATCATTAACTGGACAGCAGTAACTTTCAATACCTGTCATTCCTTTGCTGTTGTTGTGGTTTAACCATGACGGCTGTGTTGCTGTATCTGCATTAATATGTAGCCACACTTGCACATTTCACACGATATAAATATCTGATACAAATCAGAAGATCCTTGTTGCCTGCAAGACCTTGGAATGTTGCTCAAGGTCCCATACTTGTTTTTCACAGATTGGGTTCATCAGCCTGTCAGAACAAGGTGCCTGCAGCGCCTCAATTCTGTCGTATTATTGCCCTTGGGCCAATGAAGATCAAGAACCAGTGCACAGGATCAAGAAAGATCCATATTTCATGGGATAAATTATTTTCAGTCTTGCTTGAATATGAGTATGAAAGAGATTTCTTTCATTATTCAAGCTTTGCAACCAAGTTCTTTTCACTAAATAAGGTTAAAGTAATGGCCATTGTTGCTAGAATCGACAAAAGGCTTTTCTGGCATATGATATCTTAAAAAGCTATGTTCAATTTCATGCAGTTATTCTCAGTCCTCATGATGGTGACAGAAAGAACAGAAATCCTATACATTTGCAATAGTAGAACTGCTTTTTACCATTCTTGGTACAGCTACCTCTCCTATTTCACTGGCTACCCCATGGAAATAGCTTCTGACACTGATATTGCTTACAGGATCATTCTCATTGAGACTAATTTACAGGCTTCTCAAGTTCTTAAAACTTGCGATTACTCCCGCTTTACACAAAATTTGACCTCAGTCTCCATGTAAGCACAGTATATTATGTATGCTTTGAGCAGTATACTATGTATGCTTTGGGCTTGCTTTCATTTTTCAAGTGGTGCAAACAACATCTCCATGCAAAGTAAGGGAGCAATTTTTAAAATTGGCAGCAGAGATGTTTCCAAAGAATGAAGACTGAAGAAAGTTACAATGGACATTACCAAAAAAAAAAAAAAAAAAACCCCAGCAAATAAACTGTGAATTAAAGGAAGTATTTGTGAAAAAATGAAAGTGTGTAAGACGGAAATGGGACGCATGGGGGAAGCACAGAAAAGTGACATTAGTAGCTGACATGGAGTAAGAAGTGCACCTAACCAGGCAACCCTCTTCCTGCAGGCTGCAAGGAGGGTGACAGGAGATGATTTTCCATCCTTTGCTGTGCTCTCCATACACCCTGTGAGTCACCTCTTAGACATGCCTGTTGCCTGCCATTAACGAGAGACTGAACTTTATCTTGTGCCTACAGTTGGGTGATACAAAAACACGTTAATGCTTTCTCAGGAATGTTTCAGTGAGATCTCCTTTTCGTTTCAAGCTGCTTAAGCTCACAAGGTACCTAACCACAAAGACATTGTTTATTTCTTATTAGCTCTTTTAGAACTGTGTATTGTACAAAAGGTTTTAAGACACGTTCACATGCACAGAGATTTATTACCAGGGTCTGTAGTTGATGGCATATAGCTACTTAAGGGAAAAATCAAAGTGAAAAGATAGACAGTAGAAAGGTAAAGCTGTCCTGAGAGGCCAGCTGGGAAGAGAAGCAATGGGGGGTCTCCAGACAAGCATCCTTCTCTGGGTGTCTTCTCCAGTGCCATACATGGTTCCCCCTGTAATGCATTTTCCACAGTATCAGCATAGTTTTCATCATGACTCACTTCTTACCAGTTGCTCCTGCCTATGATGCTGTTGGTATTGCTGAGAGCACGCTTTGTTGAGGCCGCACGCTGACTTGCTGTTAAGTTTGGGGCGTGCATGTTTTTGGGTCCACTAATGTCAACCAGAAGCTTTGACCACAGGATAGGAAAAGGGAGGGGAAGAAGGGGTGATTCTCACACTGGTGGCAGTCACTTCCCATGAGAACCCACTGTAACAATGCAGTTGGGTTTGCAGGTGCAGGGCCGGGAGGATAACAGTGCAAGATCCACAGCGTGGGAACAGAGGCTCTGGGAAAGGCTGCTGCGGGGCAGCTTGGGTGACTGGCCGCAGAGCTGCCAGCAGAAAGCCAGCTACAGAGCTTCAGAGAGAGGGCTGTTAGCAATGCAAAAAGCTGAGGCTCTTAAGGCACCATGTGACGTGTGGCTTAATGGATGATACTGCCTTTGTTCAAAAACCAGAGCCCAGCGCAGCTCAGGACTTATCAACAGTGAATGTAACTCATTTTGATAGCAGCTGCGGTGTAGTGGTTTGTAATAAAGTTAAATGTGTTAATAGGCATTGAAGATCATTAAGGGAAAGGAATGGCATGTGCAAAGGAAC